AGAATTAAAGTGCGGAAAAATAAAGAAAGCGGTAAAAAAAGCATCGCGACGATCACTCGCGTAAATTACAAATTCCCAAAAAATGCAAAATAAAATAACCGCGACCATGACCTCGCGTAAATTACATCCATGGAACAAAAACGAACAACTGAAATAATAACGAGTCGAAACAAACAAAGTAACGAGGGTTAGACAAAAATGAAACGGCTAAATCAAAACTTATTTCTTTTTGAGTTTTTATTAAGAAGAGGAGAGGAGAATTAATTTCATGCTTAAATGGAGAAACTATTCTAATTATTTACTAAAAATTTTAATAAAGAAACTGGTTTTAATTTTAATGAAAAAATGTCTTGAAAAAAAATGTTTTAATGTTATCGAAAATAAATGTTTTAAATTTTAATTAAAAAATGTTTTAAATTTTAATGAAAAAATTTGATTTAAATTCAACGAAAAAGGTTTTAATTTTTGTTTTAGTGAAAGAAAGGTCATTTTTTAATTTTTGTGTTAACTTAATGAAAAATGGTTTTAATTGGAAAAAAACTTTAATTAAGAAAAACTGTTTTATTTAGAAATATGTTTTTAAATAAAAAATGGTTTAATTTTTGAAAAAAACTTTTTAGAAAGATCTTAATTTTTAAAAAACTAATTACGTTATATTTTTTTGTTTTGTTGAAATAGCTTACCTAAACTTAATTGCATTATTAATTACAAACTACATAGTTAATATAAATGAAAAAAAATAAACAATTGAATAATAAAATAAAAAAATGAAACGTAAATAAAAAGGCTTCTGCCGTTTTCTCCATGGATGACTATCGAAGCTTTTCCTCTCCTTCAATCCTTGCATGTCATCTTCTATTTATTCTTCCCATTAATCTACAATCAATGAACAAAACAACACACAAAAATCATAAAATGTCGTAAATCAAAGGAAAGAGAAAGCTTACGGTAACGACGATGATGTTGAACGAACTGAGCCTCCGCCGTTGGGACTTTTTGCTCGCCGGTAGCGCTTGGACTTTTCTAATATTTTTAATTTTATGATTTTTTGATGTTTTTATGAGTAATATGGAAAAAAGTGAAAAAATAATATTTTTTAAAAAATAATTTAAATAAAATACGAAAATAATAATTAAATAATAAAAAAAACTATTTTGTTATTTTTTTTTTATAAAAATAGAAAAGTTAGAATAAAAATAAAAGAAAAACAAAAAGTGAAGAAGGTGGGATTCGAACTCTCGACCTCTCACACTCACAACTCCTTACACACGGTCTCTTGCCAATTGTGCCATTTTATTCATTCAAAATAAAGTGGCACTAGAAACTATGTAAAGGCAGGACAAATTTGGGGTGCAACAACTTCGTTAGCCGCGACAACGGCATTTGATTCATCATGTTTGCCATAAGCTCTGATGCCAATTTGACAACAGGAAATTTGCAGCTACTTATACTATATACCCGTAGGGGTATATATTGAAAATAAAACCAGAAGCACCTTTCTTTCTTTCTTTATGACAGAAGGACTAGTTTTATTTCACTCTTGCTTCTTACAAATGAGAATACAACCAAGTCTTTATATAGACCCAAGACTCTACTATTCTAGTAATTAAAATGCAATTCAATTCTTATTAATACACCATTAACCTTTAGGCTTTTCATAACTAACATCTCTTGGCCTTTCATAACTGACATCTAAAATTAAAACTCCCTTAAAATAACATTTAAGGTTTATTCAACAGAAACTGTTAAACTTTATGGTTTGATTATGTATCATCTCTCGCCGCCGTTAACCACTGATCGGTTTTGTTCTTCTTACTTCTCCCTTTCCACTTTTATATATCTTTATTTATTATTCACATTTGATTTTCAAAAATAAGTTATATCACCTTTAATCATTTATTGGTTGTTGTGTGTTTATGGCTCTTGTGTGTTCACGATTTTTTACTCCAACTCTATTTTTATGTAGTTGATGTTCTTCATATAATCATCTTCATTATTCCGGATAGATAAATTAAATTAAATGGCCATCATTTTGTTTGTTTTTCAACAATTAAGGTTTACAACATCCATCTTTAGCCAAAGTTTCATACTTGCAAAAAGGAACCAAATTTGAAAAAATGAATCAAGCAGTATGCACCATTTTTCTAGATCCCATTTTTCTTTAATTACTAAAATGATGTAGTGGTATTTTTAATTTACTTTTGGCCAAATTATTGGCATTTTTCATATAAAATAATTAATAATGGTAAATATACTATTTAGATAAATAATATACATATATCCATAATACTATACAAATAGGTAAATAGGTAAATGATATGATACTTCAATAATCAGTGAGTGCATATATGACTTATGCAAATTATTTTGACATTGAGTTCAACACTTAGATTTATGCATAGTCATTAAGTGAAAAACACTTCCACCTGTTCAAGAATACAAGCTTAAATATTTTAAATATATTGAAACACTAGTTTTAAAATGGTTGTGTCTATCTTGAATTTTTTTTAGAGTGGATATTAAAGATTGGTGACAGGAAACATCTCTAAATCGAATGTGATAGTTATGTTGACATTTTAATTTTAAATGAGTTTTTAATTTCTATTTTTTCTGATGAGTTGTTATTTAATTCAACTATTTTATTATTTTACGGGTCAATATGAGGTAGGGATGATTTTGAGTAGTTTGTTGTATCTGCTGTAGGTCTTTCTGGAGGCATCATCTCAATATGGCGGAAGAATGTTTTCAATCCAAAACTCAGTTTTAAAGGTAATGGATATTTAGGATCAATTGTCTGTGGAAGGGAAGAAATTGTTATTTTGTAAATGTATATTCGTCATGTGTTCTTATGGAAAAGAGAAAATTGTGGCATGATTTGATTAAGGTTAAGACCAATTTTCCAAAGGGAAAATGGTTAATTGGGGCGATTTCAATGCGGTTAAATCAGAGGAAGAAAGGCAAGGGAAAGGAAGGACTAATATTGTGGTAATAAAGTATTTTTTCACGTTTAATGATGTGCTAGAGTTGTTTGATCTTCTGGTGATTGAAGTAAATTTACATGGTTCAACTCCAATGGTAATTGTAAAAGTATATTAGATAGATTTCTTATATCAAAAGTGTTGATTAAGGAATGGTGCGTGATGGTGCAACATGTTGGCAAGCGTGATATATCGGATCACATGCCGATATATTTGAGGGTTAGCAAGTTTAACTGGGGGCCTAAACCGCTTAAGGTTTTCAGATGTTGGTTCAATCATCCTACTTTTTAGAATTTGTGAGCAATGTTTGGCATGATGCAGAGTTTTCAGGTAGCAACTTCCAAGTCATAGTAAATAAATTTAAGCTTCTTAGGGAGAGATTGAGATGGTGGAACATCAATGTGTTTGGTTGGGTAGACTTAAATATAGATTAAGGGGTGGACACGTTAAATGGGATTGAAGATTCTATGTCATTCGGCAGAGGAGATACATCGGAGGAGCAGTTGCATGTGAGAAGTGAGACACAAAAATTGATTTGGAACAATCTTATTCTGAAGGAAAGCATGTTAAAGTAGAAATCAAGGTTGAATTAAGTTTGGGAGGGAGATCTTAATTCAAAATACTTTCACTCCATGATAAGATGTAGATTAAGAAATAAATTTATTTCGCACGTTAAAGTGGGAGACGATAGAACAGAGGAAGTTTCCTTGGTGAAGAAGACAATCAAGCAATTTTTTGAGAAGAGATTTCAGAAGCTGAGAGGTGTGAGACCATTATTAGACATCTCAGAATTCCCAAAACTCACGGTTGTTGATGTAGAGATGTTGGAATAACCATTTTCTTCAGTAGACATTATGGAAGCCATCAATGGTTGAAATGGGAATAAATGCCTAGGCTCGGATAGATTCAAGATTGAATTTATGAAGCGCTGTTGTGGAGGGGGGGGAGGGGAGGGGGTGAGTGCGGATGTGATTATGTGCATTCAATATTTCTATAGGACTCTTATTCTCCCAAAAACTTTGTTATCCTCATTCATTACTATGATCCCTAAGAACTTGAATCCCCAAGAGTTTGAAGAATGTCCCCCTATAATTCTTGTGGGGTGTGTTTATAAGATAATTTTGAATATCATAACAACAAGGCTAAGCAAGGTAATGGGCAGACCGGTTTCATTGTCCCAAACAACGTTCATACCAAATAAGCTTATTGACTATGCTTAAAGGAAGAACAAAAGGTGCATTTTATATAAATTAGATTTCGCACAAACTTATGATTGTGTAGAGTGGAACTTTATGGATAATGTTTTGAAGGCGATGAATTTTGGAGCAAAATGGTGTCAGTGGATTAGAGGTGGGGTTTGTAGTAACTTTCTATTTGTGTTGGTGAATCAGAGCACTATTGAGGATTTCAAATGATATAGTCTTAAACAAGGAAATCCTTTGTCTCCCTTTTTGTTTGCTCTAGTGGCGGAGGGCCTTGCGCTGTTAGTTAGAAGGGCTGTAAATAATAATTTTTCAATGGATTTAGATTGAATGGGGATGAATACTTAATTTATATTCAATTTGCAGATGGCGCTATTTTAGTGTGTGATAATGATTGGAAAAATATTTGGGGCATTGAGTCAATACTAAGGAGTTTCGAGTTGGTTTTGGGATTGAGAACAAATTTTTAGAAGGGTTGTCTATATGGCGTGGGGGTGGATGAGACTTTCTTGGCAGCGGCTGCACAGTTCTTAGTATGCATACAAGAAGACTACCCTTCAAATTTCTTGGCTTAGTTGTTGGTGGGAACCGTAGACACATCAATTTTTGGAAACCGGTAATTGAATGTTTCAAGGAAAAGCTTTCTACTTGGAAAGGCAAGCTACATTTAATAGGCGGCAGGGTATCCCTCATTAACTCAGTGCTCACAAATTTACCAGTTCACCATCTCTCATTTTACAAAGCCCCGACTAAAGTGGTTAAAGAGTTGGTGGCCATACAAAGGGTTTTCCTCTGGTCTGGGTCAGCCGAGTCATCAAATATGGCTTGGGTAAGTTGGTTTTCAGTTTGTAAGACCAAGGAACATGGTGGTTTAGGAATCAAGGACATAAGTTTGTTTAATAGAGCTCTTCTTTCTAAATGGTTGTGGAGGCTGATTCATGAACAAGATGCAATTTGGAAGCCACTTTTGGTTCTCAAGTATGGCAGTTTTATTTGTAGAATTGTTTCAAATATCGAAGATAGCAGTTGCAGGTTGCATTCGCCTTGGTGGAAGAACATCACGCGCATTTCTGATTCTAAGGATGAGGATGGGTTCATGATGCAATTAGCTTGTAAGTTGGGTGAAGGTACTCAAATTTCTTTTTGGAATTCTGGATGAGGATGGGTTCATGATGCATTTAGCTTGTAACATGATTCTTTTACATGGCCAAATTCTCAGAGTAATACTTTTAATTTTAAACCGTATTATGAGTTTATACAACAGACTGGTGGGTTGGAAGAATTAGACATTGCTTCCAAGACTACTTTAGAGATTCTCTGGCAATCTTCAATTCCGATGAAGGTTAAGATTTTTGGTTGGAGGTTGATATTGGATAGACTTCTGAATCGTTCGAATCTAGCAGCTAAGGGAGTAATATCTAATCCTCACAAGTCAGTATGTGTTTTCTGTTTTCATTATATAGAATCATTAGAGCATGTGTTTTTTTCTTGTCCCAAAATTTTGCTGGTTTCGAGGGCTGTATTCACTTGGACAGGGGTGGCTTGAGGAGAGACGGCTAACTGTTGTGACCATATGTTGGAATGGTTTGTAAAGTTGGTTGTAATTTCTTCAAAAAAAAGACTCCTTGTGTGATTTGGTTTAGTACGTGCTGGTGTATTTGATAGTATAAAAACTAGATAATATTTAATAACGGTTTTGGTTGCGTGAATGAAATTGGACACAAAATTATTCACACTTTTTGGTGGTGGTTAACCATTTGTTCTTACCATACAATTAAGTGCAATTATTACGAATGGCTCAAACGGCCTTCCGATTTTTTATAAAAAGTTTCTGATTTTTTATAAAAAGTTTATGTAATTTTATGTAATATCATAGTCGTGTTGTATTTGACAGGTAGTGTGAAATACTTCTAATATTCTTTATTAATATATAGATTCCGCTTAAAACAAAGTCACTGCAAGAAAAAAGTGAGAGGTTTAACCCTTCCTTGTGCTACTGGACAAAGTTTTAACCCCTTCCTGTACCAAAAACAAGAAGAGACTTGTTTAGAGAAATAAACTTTCGTGGATGATAAATTTTCACCAAATTTAGAGTAACATTGTAAGAGAATTTCCAAAATAATATTAAATAGAATGCTTGTATTATTTGAATTAATAAAATAAATATTATATTTGGATTTTTTTTATCTCTAATTTGAATGTTATGAATATTGTTGGTATAGTATGTCATGTCATTGGTTAACATTTAATTAGGAACAGTTGCAACTTATAAACAATATATTGCTAGTTTTGAGCAAAGCGTTGTTACTGTTCGGTGTAACCAAAAACGGTGTAATAGAATATTTTAAGAGATAAAACACCTCAAATTATTTTCTCACTCTAAATCATCTTTCTCTTCTCTAATGCATGAGAGCAAGAAAAAGAAATATTCTTCTGTAAAATACTATCAAAGATACGTTTAGAGAGACTGTGCAATTCTTTTTAAGGATTCCAAACTATCTTGCAGGAAATTCTCCGGTAAACCCGTTTGCATCCAACATACCAAGATTGGTGGGGGCGAATTGTTCCTTAAGCTTAGTGTGGAAACATACGTTTTGGAAGTTTATCAAGAAAATTTATTTCTCTATTTTCATCTCCTTTAATTCTTAGTTTTGCAGCAGCCCCAAAGACTATATATATATATATATATATATATATATATATATATATATATATATATATATATATATATATATATATATATATATATATATATATATATATATATATATATATATATATATATATATATATATATATATATATATATATATATATATATATATATATATATATATATATATATATATATATATATATATATATATATATATATATATATATATATATATATATATATATATATATATATATAACATTCTTAAGGAACAAATTTTTCTCATTCAATGACTGCTTCACTAAAAGAGATGACTTCTGACTTTGTGAAATTAGAGAAGTTCGATGGAGGGTATTTTATTCGTTGGCAGAAAAAAATGAAATTCCTTCTCACAACATTGAAAGTGGTGCATGTCCTTAACATTCCAAAGTCGGAAGAAAAAGAATATGAAACAATTGTTGAAACTAGAGAGAGACAAAAGTGGGACAATGATGATTATATATGCATGGGACACATTCTCAACGGTATGTGCGATTCGTTGTTCGACATTTATCAGAGCAGCAACTCTGCAAAAGAATTATGGGAGAAATTGGAATCAAGATACATGCAAGAAGATGCTACAAGTAAGAAGTTTCTTGTTTTTCAATTTAATAATTATAAAATGGTAGACAATAGGCCTGTAATGGAACAAATGTATGAAATCGAACATATTCTCAATAATTACAAACAACATGATATGAATATGGATGAAACAATCATTCTATCTTCCATAATTGATAAACTTCCTCCATCATAGAAAGATTTTAAAAAATATTTGAAACATAAGAAAGAGGACATATCTCTTGAGCAATTGGGTAATCACCTTCGTTTAGAAGAAGAGTATCGTAAATAATATGATACTAAAAATCAAATTACTCATGAGAAGGTGCATGTGATGGAGGAAGGAAATTCAAGAAAAACTTCCAAGAAAAGAAAGCGAGATTTTGGAAAATGTTATGAAAATCATAATGTTAATAGCAATAATAACAATAGAAAGAAAAAGAAAGGAAATTGCTATCATTGTGGAAAACCAGGACACTTTAAAAATGAGTGCATGTTCTTAAAAAGAGAGAATAAAAACAAGAATTCAAGTGCAACAACAAACAATCTTGTTGCTGTCATTTCTAAAATCAACATGATAGAAATGTTGATTCTTGGTGGATAGACTCTGGTGCTACCCGTCATGTGTGCAAAAATAAAAAATTATTCAAGACCATCAATGAAGAAAATGATAGTGTTTTGTACATGGGAAATGCTTCTACAGTTCAAGTCAAAGGAAAAGGATCAGTAGAGATTGAATTCACATCTGAAAAATTACTCACTCTGAAAGATGTACTTTATGTACCTGAAGTTAGGAAAAACTTGATATTTGTACCTTTACTTAATAAGTATGGTTCCAAATCTGTATTTGAGGGAGATAAATTTATTCTCTCCAAAGAGTGTATGTTTGTAGGGAAGGGTTATCTTTCTGAGAATATGTTCATGTGTAATGTTGTTAATAATAATAATAATGATGTGATTTATGCTTATATTGTTGATTCTTATGATTTATGGCATATGCGACTAGGACATGTTAATTTTAGAAAATTAAATGATATGACGAAATCAAATTTAATTCCAACTATTGACAAAAATTCAAATTCATGTACTACTTGCATGTTAACTAAAATCACTAGACAACCTTTTAAAACAGTTGAAAGAAGTTCTAAAGTGTTAGATTTAATTTATTCTGATGTATGTGATTTACATGGTTGGCCCACAATTGGTGGTAAAAAGTATTTTGTCACTTTCATTGATGATTGCACTAGATTTTTCATTAAATGTTTTTGGAGTGATAGAGGGGGAGAGTTCTAACATCCTAATTGTTTTGAGTTCACTGGTATTATACATCAAATAAATGCACCATATTCCCCACAACAAAATAGAATAGCAGAAAGGAAAAATAGGATGCTGGAAGAAATGGTAAATGCCATGTTATCCTATTCTGGTTTATCTAAAGGATATTGGGGTGAAGCCATGCTAACTACATGTTATATATTGAATAGAGTTCCTAATAAAAGGAACAAGATAACCCCATATGAACTTTGGAAGAAAAGAAAACTCAATCTAAACTATTTAAAAGTTTGGGGTTGTAGAGCAATTGTAAAGGTGCTTGAACCAAAAAGAAAGAAATTGGGAGAAAGAGGAATTGAATGTATATTTCTGGGCTATGCTGAAAATAACAAAACATATAGATTCATGATTATTGAATCCAATGACTCATATCCTATTAATAGCGTGATTGAGTCAAGAGATGCAATTTTTCAAGAGAGTAGATTTACCTCAATTCAATATCCCAAGGACAATGTTCATTATGATGTTCAAAGTCTAGAAAGTAATGTATCTAATAATGATATGTTGGAATGTTCAGAATCTCGAAGAAGTAAAAGAATCTGAAAAACTATGGATCAAACTCCTTTATGTTCCTTGTAGAAGGAAATAATGATTCCATAAATCGTTATGAACCAATTTGCTATAACCTAGAAAATGATCCAGAAACATTTGAAGAGGCAATAAAATCTCAAGATTCTGCCTTTTGAAAAGAAGCTATCCAAGAGGAAATGGACTCAATTATGGGTAATAAAACCTGGAAACTAGTAGATCTCCCACCAGGATCAAAACCAATAGGGTGTAAATGGATCTTTAAAAGGAAAATGAAAGTTGATGGTACCATTGAAAAATTCAAAGCTAGACTTGTCGCTAAAGGATTTACACAAAAAGAAGGAATTGATTATTTTGATACTTATGCACCTGTTGCAAGAATTGCATCAATTAGAGTGCTTTTGGCTCTCGCTTCCATCTATAAATTTGTCATTCATCAAATGGATGTTAAATCTGCTTTCCTAAATGGAGAATTGGATAAAGAGGTGTATATGAAACAACCTGAAGGGTTCGTTATCAAAGGCCAAGAACATAAAGTGTGTAAATTAACTAAGCCTTTATATGGGTTAAAACAAGCACCCAAACAATGACATCAAAAATTTGACCAAGTTATGTTGGCCAATGGATACAAAATAAATGAATCTGACAAATGTATTTATAGTAACTTTAACAATGGAAAAGGGGTTATGATTTGTTTATATGTGGATGATATGTTAATCTTTGGTACTGAATTAAAAGAGGTAGAAAAGACTAAAGCTTTCTTATCCAAAATTTTTGATATGAAAGACTTAGGTGAAGCAGATGTGATTTTAGGAATTAAAATCATAAGAGATGGTGAACATATTAGTTTATCCCAATCTCACTATATCGGAAAGGTGCTTAAGAAATTTGATCACTTCAGTTGCAAATCTGTTTTTACCCCATTTGATCAAAATGTTAATTTGCAACCACATAGAGGGTGTCCAGTGGCACAACTTGAATACTCAAAGATAATCAGATGCATGATGTACGCTATGACTTGTACCAGACCTGATATAGCATAT